CTTTCTTCTCAAATTCATTGTTCATGGACATGCCTACGGCACCTAAAGTTCGCAACATGCTATCATTTTCGTAAGCCTTTTCTGGTCTTTTTTTATTTATTTAAATATGAATACACTACTTGGAATATATATGCTCACATATTGTTGGAAGATGTTTGGTTCTCCTGAAATTCCAGTTAAACATATTGTGTGAAGTTGATAGTGTCCTTAAGTCTTACGATGAGAAAAATAAGATTAGAACTGTTTTGTCATGTCTATTGTCACTGGTTTATAATCCTAATGAGGTATGTTTGCATTGTAGTTTTTAGTAACTGAACTTGTTGGTGTTGGTTTGTTATTTTTAATTCATTGCTTTTATTGAAGTTTTTCGTAACTTAATTGGATATTTTCTCTCTCTTTGTTATTCTAGTGTTTTGACTCCATATTACACTGAAGAGGTCCTCTTCTCCTTGACTGACTTGGAAACGCCAAATGAAGATGGTGTTTCGATCATCTTTTACCTACAAAAGATTTTTCCAGGTAATTTATATTTACATTCTCTGTTAAGTTGTAGCCTATATTTTTGAATATCGTCTTGGACCTGACTTTTTATCTCTAGATGAATGGAACCATTTCCTCGAGCGGGTAAAGTGCTCAAGTGAAGAGGAACTTAAAGAGTCTGATGAATTAGAGGAGGAACTTCGTTTATGGGCTTCATATAGGGGGCAGACTTTGACTAGAACTGGTGTGTACTTTTGGTTAATTTTCTATCCAGTGAAATATTAGATTGATACAATATATATTTGTTGTTAATCTTTTAATCTTTTTTNCAGTAAGAGGAATGATGTACTATCGAAAAGCATTGGAACTTCAGGCATTCCTTGACATGGCTATGCACGAAGGTGTTCTTCTCGAATTTATATCATACGACAAAGGGGCATACATTAATTCCCACAACTGATTATTGATGCTGAATTTTGTTTCTCCAGATTTGATGGAAGGTTACAAGGCTGTTGAACTAAATTCAGAGAACAATTCAAGAGGCGAAAGATCGCTCTGGGCACAGTGCCAAGCTGTTGCTGACATGAAGTTTACATATGTTGTATCATGTCAACAATATGGTATTCATAAACGATCCGGTGATCCTCGTGCGCAGGATATATTGAGGCTTATGACAAGGTGTGCAGAATAATCCTATTTTGTTGTCTTTTCTTTAACCTGTTTGTAACTTATGGCTTTGCTTACATTTGGCAGATACCCTTCACTCCGTGTTGCGTATATTGATGAGGTCGAAGAACCAGTGAAAGACAAGTCAAAGAAAGGGAACCAGAAAGTGTATTATTCTGTGTTGGTAAAGGTGCCTAAGTCAACTGATCATTCCAGCATAGCACAAAATCTGGACCAGGTAATGTAAAGAAGCCTAACATTTTTCTCATGTTGTTTATTGTGCAATTTATTAGTCTTGCGAATGTTGAAACTTTTTACTGTGATTTTCTTAGTGTGAATGCTGAACTTTATGGCCTAGAAGGATTACTTAATTGGGAGCCAAATTATTTTTTACTGTTATATATGCTATCTCATGTTAGATTTACTTATTGTTGTCTTGATTCTTACATGGATATGTATATTGACATTTCTCTGCCTTCTAGGTTATCTATAGGATTAGGCTTCCTGGACCTGCTATTCTTGGAGAGGGAAAACCAGAAAACCAAAATCATGCGATCATTTTTACTCGTGGAGAAGGTTTACAGACAATCGACATGAATCAGGCATGCACATGTCCTTTTCAGTCAGCTTTCTAGTTATCTCAACGCTCCAACTTGAAATTAAGTTACCCATGATGTCATTTGATTCAGGATAATTACATGGAGGAAGCCTTAAAGATGAGGAACTTGCTTCAAGAATTTCTTACAAAGCATGATGGTGTGAGGCACCCATCAATTCTTGGACTCAGGGAACATATATTTACTGGATCGTGAGTATTTCAGCAGCACTTTCATTTATTTTGTCTCTTTCATTTCTCTTTGGCTCTCTCTAAGAACTATTGGTGTTGGCACTTTGCAGTGTTTCCTCCCTTGCGTGGTTCATGTCAAATCAAGAGACTAGTTTTGTTACCATTGGTCAGAGATTACTGGCAAATCCTTTGAGGTCAGTGTGTTTCCTGAAAACAACTGTAGTGATGATTGCCCATATTTTTCTTTGTTATCATTCCCGAAACAAAATTCATCGTTCTCTTGCTCCTATATAGGGTTCGTTTCCATTATGGTCATCCAGATGTGTTTGATAGATTGTTTCATCTAACAAGAGGTGGTATTTGCAAAGCATCCAAGGTAATCAACCTCAGTGAAGATATATTTGCAGGTATATTCTACTCTTGCGGAGGACTATCTGTTTCTTTCATTGACTCTTAAGTGATGTCCTCGCTGATGAATTGCTACTGTTTTGTATTGAGCAGGATTCAATTCTACGCTTCGTGAAGGAAATGTTACCCATCATGAATACATACAAGTTGGTAAAGGGAGAGATGTTGGTCTAAATCAAATCTCTATGTTTGAGGCCAAGATTGCTAATGGCAATGGAGAACAGACATTAAGTCGAGACATTTACAGGCTTGGACACCGTTTTGACTTTTTCCGAATGATGTCATGTTACTTCACCACTGTTGGCTTTTACTTCAGCACCCTGGTATTATTTCGTTCTGTTTTGGTTAAACCAACTACCACACAACTAGTTCAGATCTGATTCATTCTCCACTGTTTTCACAGATTACAGTTCTCACTGTCTACATCTTCCTTTATGGGCGTCTCTATCTTGTTCTGAGTGGGCTCGAACAAGGATTAAGTACACAGAAAGGCATCCGAGACAATACACCTTTGCAAGTAGCTCTTGCATCACAGTCTTTTGTTCAGATTGGTTTCCTGATGGCTTTACCTATGCTTATGGAAATTGGATTAGAGAGGGGTTTCAGGACTGCCTTGAGTGAATTTGTGCTGATGCAGCTTCAATTGGCGCCGGTGTTCTTTACGTTCTCTCTTGGTACAAAGACCCACTACTATGGAAGGACGTTACTTCATGGCGGTGCCAAGTACAGGTCCACAGGCAGAGGGTTTGTTGTCTTTCATGCCAAGTTTGCGGATAACTACAGACTCTATTCCCGGAGCCATTTTGTAAAGGGGCTTGAAATGATGCTGCTGCTCGTTGTGTATCAAATTTTTGGAAGTGCTTACAGAGGCGTCTTTGCATATCTTTTGATCACCATATCTATGTGGTTCATGGTGGGGACTTGGCTTTTTGCTCCCTTCCTCTTCAATCCTTCTGGTTTTGAATGGCAGAAAATTGTTGATGATTGGACTGATTGGAACAAATGGATAAACAACATCGGGGGTATTGGTGTCCCGGCAGAAAAAAGTTGGGAATCATGGTGGGAGGAAGAGCAAGACCATCTCCGTTATTCCGGAAAGCGTGGTATAGTTGTCGAGATTTTGTTATCCCTGCGGTTCTTTATCTATCAATACGGGCTTGTTTATCATCTCTCGATTACAGAGAAGACTAAAAACTTTCTGGTATGTAACAAAACTTTTCAGAATGTCAGCTTTCTTAATTGTGGTATCTTCGATTTCAATGACTAATTCTCTTGTTAACTCAGGTTTATGGAGTATCATGGCTGGTGATTTTCTTGATATTGTTTGTGATGAAGGTGAGTTTACTTGACATACCAATCTCTTGTTAATTACGAGGATAATCGTCAATACAATCATAATATCTTTTTGTTGCTTGTCTCAGACTGTTTCGATTGGAAGGCGGAAGTTCAGCGCGAGTTTCCAGCTGGTGTTCCGGTTGATAAAGGGGCTAATATTCTTGACATTTATAGCAATTATTGTGATATTGATCACACTTGCTAAAATGACGATACAAGACATTATTGTGTGCATCCTTGCCTTTATGCCGACAGGCTGGGGTATGCTCTTGGTAAGTAAAAGGAAAAAGCTAATATTAAAATGGTGAGTGTGAGTGTGTGTGGATATAACAACAAGACAAGTAATTAATGTGTGTTTATGTTTGTAGATTGCGCAAGCGTGTAAACCGGTGGTTCATAGAGCAGGATTCTGGGGATCAGTGAGGACACTAGCTCGTGGATACGAGATAGTAATGGGACTGTTGCTGTTCACGCCAGTAGCGTTCTTGGCTTGGTTTCCGTTTGTGTCCGAGTTCCAAACGCGAATGCTCTTCAATCAAGCTTTCAGTAGAGGTCTTCAGATCTCTCGTATCCTTGGTGGACATAGGAAGGATCGTTCTTCTCGAAATAAGGAATGAATCATCATCATCATCACTCCTTCTCCTCCCACTTCAGTCTGAAATGCAGGGATGTGTAATTTTATTTTCTTCTTGTTGGCATAAAAGTAATATGGATCTATTAGTGTTAAATTCTCTTAATTGTAGTACTTAACATATTGCGTAGTCGTAGGTTAAGAAAACATTGTAGTATGTCTTCCTAAGCTATACTGAGTAATATTTC